CAGATTCGCCTCTCCTCGCCAGCCGCAGCTTTGGCCCTGCCCCTCCGCCCACCCTGATCGCAGCCCCAGCCCAGGATAGACATGCCTATCTCAGCGCTGGATGCTGCCCCACGCATCCGATGAAGTAGTTGCTTTTCAGTCCACGGGCATCGGAGGTCCAGACCCTTTCCCGGGGCGCGACTTGTTGTGCCGGATCCTTGTGATGGTCTGGAGGGCCGACGCCGGCCCCAGGAGGCCCGAGATGACGGACGCACGCTGGGATTTCAAAAAGGCGATCCGTCCAAGGTCTGGGGACATGCCTGACGGCGCCCTTCTCACTGCTGCCCTTCCCAGACCCCCTCGGAAAATAACATGATCCCAGTGCGACCCTACCTAGGAGTAGGAGCATTCAGGAAAACAACATCTGCATCTACACCGACAGCTAAATTTACATATACACCTGACCATACATATATGCTGCGCTATGCTATGCTATGCTATGCTATGCTATGCTATGCTATGCTGCGCTATGCTATGCTATGCTATGCTAGGCTAGGCCATGATATGATATGCAATGCTGCGCTATGCTATGCTATGCTATGCTATGCTATGCTGCGCTATGCTGTGCTATGCTGTGCTATGCTGTGCTATGCTATGCTATGGTGCGCTGTGCTATGCTAAGCAATGCTATGCTATGCTATGCTGTGCTATGCCATGCAATGCAATGCTATGCTATGATATGCTATGCTATGCTGAGCTATGATATGCTGTGCATGCTATGCTATGCTTGGCTATGCTATGCCATGCTATGCTGTGCTAATGCTGCGCTGCGCTATGCTGCGCTGCGCTAAACTAAGCTAAGGTAAGGTAAGCTAAGCCATGCTAAGCTAAGCTAAGCTAAGCTAAGATAGGCTAGACTAAGCTACGCTAAGCCAAGCCAAGCTAAGCTAAGCTAAACTAAACTAGGCTAGGCAAAGCTAAGCTAAGCTACGCTAAGCTAAGATGTGATAAGCTAAGCTCAGCTCAGCACAGCTAAGCTAAGCTAAGCTAAGCTAGGCTAGGCAAAGTTGAGCTAAGCTAAGCTAAGATGAGATGAGCTAAGCTAAGCTAAGCTTAGCTTAGCTAAGCTAAGCTGGGTGAACCCAGGGTGCGCAACTGGGGGAACCGCGGGGCGGATACTGGGGGAACCGCCCGGGGCGCTTTCCACTGCCCGGCCCCTTTAAGAAAGAGAGTAAGAAACCTTACAGGCATAGCCTAGGTAGGGAAAAACATATGTTTTTATTATTATTATTATTTTCGGCCTCAGGAGGCCCTTCCTGGCCCTCGGGGGCGTCAACAAAACGACTCAGGAGGAGAGACCAGTCCCGGGGAAGAAGTCGAAACCTCTGGGGGTCGAGGTCATGAACAAGCTCATTGCGTCGCGGGTCTGGGTTCCCTGTGCGCTGGACTGCGCGTCGCGTCTGATCAACCGGATCCCCCGGTTCTGCGTGATCGCCAGGAGGAGCAGCTCTGGAGGGCAACCGCTGGGCGGAAGTGTGAACACCCTGTCCTGCACCTCACCACCCCGCTGTGGAAACTGCACAGATGGCGAACGAGCTGAACACACCCCCATACCCATGGGGGGACGGCGGGGGGCTATGGGTATGTGCTCCGCTCGGACGGGAGCCTCCCAGGGGGTCCGACAACCCGTACCCACACCCATAGCCAGTCCTCCTTCCCCCAAACCCTCCATGGGTATTGGCGTGTTTTTTTGCCGTTCGTCTACAAACAGCACTGGTCGGCGGCGAGCGAGGGGGTGCAGTGAGATGGAGAAGGTCTTCTCAGAAGGCGGCGGGGTGTCTCAGAAACCCTCAGGCCTTCGAGAAGTTGTTTTGTCTGTGTCTTCGGGGAAGGCTTCACTTTTCAGAAGGCTCGCGGAAATCCGAGCCTTCTGAAAAGGCCCGCCCCCTCTCCCTGCCTTCCCAGGCGCGGCTCCGAGCTGAAGACACCCCCATATCCATGGGGGGGACGGAGGGGGCCATGGGTGTGTGTCGTCGGATGGGGGTCCCCGCTCGCACGGGAGCCTCGCCGGGTTCCGACAACCCGCTCCCACACCCATAGCCAGTCCTCCTTCCTCCAATCCCTCTATGGAAATGGGGTATGGGCGTGTGCTTTTCGCTTGCCCACAAGCTGCACTGATTGGCGGCGAGCGAAGGGGGTGCAGTGAGATGAAGAAGGCCATCTCAGCAGGCGGCGGGGCTTCTCAGAAGCCTTTAGGCCTTCCGATCAGTTTTGTCTGTGTCTCTGGGGGAGGCTCAGAGCACTGCTCGCAAGGCCGGAGGGCTGCCGAGCCTCCGGAGCAGGCCCGCCCCCTCTCGCTTTTCCTCCCTGGGCGCGCCTCCGAGCCGAGCACCCCCCCCGCACCCTCGGGGGGGAGACGGCGGGGCCCTCTTCTGGAGTCGTTGGGAGTAACATTCGCGCCTCGCGCTTCGCGGTTTTTTGGGCTCCGACTTGCCTCCTCGCCCTCCGCTTCTTTCTCCCCCGGGAGGCGGCGCGAGAGCGCGCGAAGTGCTTCGCGCTCCGCGCTCTCGGGGAGAAGAGGGGCGTGCGTGGTCGGAGGGGGGCCCCCGCTCGGGCGGGAGCCCCCCCGGGGTCAGACCGCCCGCACCCCACACGGGTGACTCCACGTGATAAGCGCGACCTTCCGCCCGAGTGGCATTCGGTGCGGTCCCACCGGGGTCTCCCGATCGCCAGGCGCGAGGCGGCAGCGGCGCCTTGCGCGCTCGTGTTGGGCCCCCCCCGGCGTGACTCGCGCCCCCTGAGCGGCCCTCTCCCCCGGAGCCGCGCGCCAAAGGCCAACTCCTACTCAGGTTCGCTCTCTTGCTTGCAGCCGAGGAGAGGCGACACAATCACAGGGCTCGCGTATCGGTTCCGATTCGATACTCGATTCCGATGCGCTTCGACTCCTGCGCTTCCTTCGATTCGGTTCGATTCCTGCGGCTCGATTCGATACTCCACTGGATTCCGATTCCGGTTCGGATCGGCTTTCGATCCCGATGCGGGTTCCGGTCTCCCAGCGGAGGCCCACGAGCCTGCCGGTTGACGCCGGTTCGACCTCTCCCGACTCGGCTGCCGATTGTGCCGCCGATCCGATTCTCTTCGGTCGCCGATCCAGCTTGTCGATTCGATCCTGGGCTCGCCACCACGCCAGGGGGGGCGGCCGGGGCACCTCTGGCGAGGAGGTCCACGAGATGCCTCCCCGGGGGTCGGGTGACATCGGGTATGTCTCTCTGCAGGAGTCATGTGCAAAAGTAGTCAACAAAATAGTCAGGCGACGATTTTTCTGCTACAGTGGGCGTGCGCGTCAAGAAACCAACTGCTTTTCGTCAGAGTATCCTGGGTTTCTTCGCTCCCCGCAGCCGGGGAAGAAGCTGCTGCGTTCAGGACGCTCGGGTTTTCACCTCGCGCGCGGGTTTTCAGGGTTGGGTTTCTGGCGAAGGTTTCTTGCGGCCGCGCCCGCACTGTATTCCCATCTGTTTTAAACAAATCTTTTTGGAGTCCTTTTTATTTTTCGTTCGAAGCCCGCCTGTAGGGGGACATCCCCGACCCAAGGATAGGAGATGTCTCGAGCGAGGGGGAGTTCGGCTGCAACTCCCGGGAGGTCAAATTCTGACTTTGCCTGGCCCCGATCGGCGAGCAGTGGGCGATTGGGGGTCGAGGCTACTCCCCCCCCCAGTCCTCCTCCTCCTCCTCTTCTTCTTCTTCCTCTTCTTCTTCTTCCTCTTCCTCTTCTTCCTCTTCTTCCTCTTCTTCCTCTGCTTCCTCCTCTTCCTCATCTTCCGCTTCTTCCTCTTCTTCCTCTTCTTCCTCCGGCCGAGTTCCGCTTCCTCCGCGGCCCAATGCGGCGCAGCAGCCCCCCAGTGGGGCTCAGTCCTCCCCGATCCTTCGAGGGAGGCCTCCCAGCAGTTGCCTCCGAAGCGGAGGGGGGCCGCATCAACAGGAGGGACCCCGTCCCCGAGCTCCAAGACTAATCACTTATTTCTTCCGTTTCGTTTCGAATGATTACTTGAGTAGTTTTGATCCTCCCGCTAGTGGCGCCTGGTGGTGCGGCGGGATGCGTTGAGCAGGACCCGACGACGACGACGACGAGGGACGACGACGACGAGGGACCTCGACGACGACGACGACGACAGACGACGACCACGACGACGACGACGACGACGAAGGACGACGACGACGACATCGACGACGACGACGACGAGGGACGACGACGAGGGACGACGACGACGATGACGACGACCGACGGACGACGGACGACGACGGACGACGACGACAGCGACGACGTGACGACGACGACGACGACGACGAGGGACGACGGCGACGACGACGACGTGACGACGACGACGAGGGACGACGACGACGACGAGGGACGACGACGACGACGGCGTTGACGAGGGGCGAGGACGACGACGACGACGACTTCCTGCGTGTCTGGGTGAGGACCTCTTCGGCTGCCGCGGCTGCTGGGCGCAGTGACCAGCCTCAAGACGGCACTCAAGTGTGCCAAAACGGCCCTCAAGAGGGTCCCCGAGAGGGCTCCAGGAGGCCAAAAGCATTGATTTTCCGTAGTTGTTTCAGCGATTTGTTTTTGGGTCACGTCACGATTTTGGTTTCGAGACGTACGAGATCCTCAAGCGATGGCTTTCTGAGAGCCATGCATCACACGAGCTTTTGTGCGAGCCGCAAGTCTGCAAACATCATGTTATCATGTTCCAACTTGTCATGCCAGCCCGCACTGGACGGGGAGGCAATCGACTTTGGAAACCCTCATGGACTTTTAAATCCTGTTTGGGGATGTTGCGCTCTGGCCATAATTCACAGATTTGTCACGCGCTTTTCGGGCTCTCGCCTTTTGGGGTCCAGAAGGGCCCCAGGGCGGCACAAGAGGCCCCAAAGAGCGTCCCAATAGGAGGGAACGAAGAACGGCATAAATTCAAAAACTCAGAGGTCCGCGCGGATTTCTCGGATCCGCGCTGGACTGGACCCTCCTGGCGGCACCTCCGGCGCCATCCCTGGCGCGCTCCGCAAACCAGGGAGGGGGTCCAGTGCCAATCCGAGAACTCCGCGCGGACCTCCGAGTTTGCATGCTTATGTCATTCTTCGTTCCCTCAGAGTCGGCCCCTGGTCGGGGGCCACGGCTGGGGTTCGCGGCTGGAGGTTCTGGCGCGCTTTCGTGGGGTCTCGGCGGCTCTCCGGGCCTCGGGGTGCGCTCTTGCAGCTGCCCGCCTCGCCGCGAGCGCTCCCGGGGGGGTTCCCCGTGTCATTGCGAGAGGCCGCCGGGAAGCCGAGGTAGGGTTGTCGGGCGTGTCCCACAAAGAAAATTAGAAAATTACCCCCAAAATAGTCAGAGGACGATTTCTCTAATGTTTTCGAATATTTCTGAACATGTGCCGACTATTTCTTGATTTTCGCTTCGAGTTCGCCTGTCGGAGGACATGCCCGACCAAAAAGTTAGGGCCCGAGGGCCAGGTCGGGAGGCTCAGGGGGCAGCGTCAGAGGCCAGGCCCCCAGGGGGGAAAACGCCTCGGCCTTCCGTCGCCCAATCGTCGCCGACGCTTCGGGGCCTGCCTGTCCGGCCCCGCCCGGGAACGTGCGCGGTCTCACCATCGAGGGCCCATCGCCGATCTGTCCGCGATGTATCGCCGGTTTCCATGCCAATGTCGAGGGAGGAGGAGGAGGAGGAGGAGGAGGAGGAGGAGGAGGAGGAGGAGGAGGAGGAGGAGGAATGCTAGCATGGATTGAGGCGCGTGGACCACCTCCTCCTCCTCCTCCTCCTCCTCTTTCCCCTCCTCCTCACGCTCGCAGGCGTTTTTGTTTTCCCCCGATCTGCGAGCTTCGCCCGAAACGTGGGACAAACACCCCAATGGGGGCTATTCGAACGCACCCCTATCGAAGATGGACGCCCACTTCTCGTATATCGCAGGGTTGGGCCCAAGTATCTGGTCCATTTGAACACCCCACGAAGCCTGTGATAGGGATCGATATCTCCCATGTTGCACGCACCAGGTCCATGGATCACTGATCTGTGTTAGCGTGCGCCCGACACCGTTCCCCCAATGAGCCAGCCACCCCCATCACTGTCGTTCCGCCTCATCCTGAGGCGTTCCAGACAGGGCCCCCTCGCCTTCGAGGGTCGAAGGAGTTGGCACCTCTTCCCCGGCGGAAGGCGGCCCCGGACCCCCCCCCCGCGTTGTGAAACATTCGCGACGGAAGGTTTTTCGCTACTCTTGGCCTCCGTGGGCCCTCAGCGGGCCTCGGGACCGTCGAAGAACGGCTCGGGATGAAGAACCGGTCCTGGGGAAGGGGTTGAGACCTCTGGGGGCCGACGTTCTAAGCAAAGCTCACGACGTCGGGGGTCCGGGGCGGAAGGGGGCGGCGGAAGGCGGCGGAAGCAAAACGAGGGCGCCTCCGTCGGCGGAAGCTGGCGGAAGGCTGGTGGAAGCCTGCGGAGTAAGAATCCTGAGCATTTTCTTTGGGTGCAGGGCAAAAAGGGTGAAATTCCGAAATGCCGTTTCGATGGGTTTCCGAGGCTCGAATCTGCGAGAGGTGAATCACCAGACGGAGTGATTCTCGAGGCGCACAAGCCCATGTGGATTCCACCCTGAGCGTTGCCGTCAAGGAATCGCCCCCACGCCAAGGAATCGCCCCCACGCCAAGGACTCGCCCCCACGCCAAGGAATCGCTCCCACGCCATGGAATCGCCCTCTCCCAAGGAATCGCCCTCCACCCTAAGAGCATGCTCAGGTAAGACTCCCCCCCCCCAAGGAGTCGCCCCCACGCCCCCCCCCAAGAGGTTGCAGGGCTCGTAGGCGCAGGCGTCGTCAGAGCCCGCCGTGCGGGCTGCGGCGGGCCGGGGAGGCGACGGGGGGTGGGGGAGGGGGGGGCGGGCGCCCGCGCCTCCCCGCGAGCAGCGGCGAGGCGCCCTGGCTGGTCTTAGTCAAGCAGTGGCGAAGCGTCCTGGCTCGCCCATAGCCCCAGCAATCAATGCTCTAAGAACCTTCTGTGGTTTCCACGAACTGTTCTTAGAACATTTCTGGCGGGGTCTGTCTTGTTTTGTCTCACTGGATTTATGCACAAAGGAACTTGTTTTTTCTTAGAACATTTTGGGGTTCTAAGAACAATTCGTGGTAGGATTATAGGAATGCTGGGACGGTCGGTCCCTGCTCAACTTAAGGGGGGCCACCATCGAGGGTTGATGAGAGCTTGTCGCGGTCTGCGCGGGGTGTGCTCAGAGCAGTCCTGGCTGAGGCTGTCTTGGTTCAGCGCGTCGGGCTTCTGCTCCATGAGCACTGTTTTTGCCCCGTGGTAGGCCTACATATAGGATTACCGGGACGGTCGGTCCCTGCTCCATCCACCCCACTCCAGTTCCCCGAAGCAGCAAGGATTGGCATATTCACCAGCCTGAAGCATATCTCGACCCCTACGTTTGGCATTACCATCCCTGGGTGCCTGAGGCCACATCCCTAAGGTTGTCATCGTCTTTGGCTTGCCGACCTTAGGGATAGGGATAAGTTCGAGGCTAGTTACATACGGTAGGTTCGCGACGTGTCTACTGTCCACTGCCGTTTATGACGGTCCCGGGGCCCGGCGAGGGCCCACGGCGGGGCCGAAAAGCTTAGCTGCTTGCCCAGTCCTGTCTTGGTCGCAGCGCGATCCTGTCTGCTGCCCCCGGGGGTCCCCCAGCGGCGCCACGCACGCGGAGGGCGTCCCTCGGACCGCCCTGGCCCTCCGTTCGGTGGCAATTCGTGGGAGCCTGATCCACCCTCTCATCAATTCCGTCTTCAACGTCGATGAGCGTCGATTGTAGCGCCTGGAGTCGATGAGTTGGCGCCGCTCTGGCGACGGTTAGCGTCGGATGTGGCGTCGATTACGCGTCGATTTCGCGTCGATTCGCACGAGTCGACAAGATGGTATGGGAGGCCCCGAGGAGTTGCCACCGAACCTTCGCCGCCCTCCTTGTCAGTCTCGTTTAACCGACCCCCATCCCCATCCCCATCCCCACCGCTACCCCCACCAACTCATACACCCCCCCCAGTTGGGGGATGCGCCCCCTCGAAGCCCGAAGGGCACGGCCTGTGTATCCCCAGCTAGGGGGGTATGGCGGCCAGTGGGCCCAGGCCACGCCGCTGGGGAGGGGGGTCGGATCAGCGAGGAGGAGGAGGAGGAGGAGGAGGAGGAGGAGGAGGAGGAGGAGGAGGAGGACAGGGAGGAGGAGGAGGAGGAGGAGGAGGAGGAGGAGGAGGAGGAGGAGGAGGAGGAGGAGGAGGAGGAGGAGGAGGAGGAGGAGGAAGGAGGAGGAGGGAGGAGGAGGAGGAGGAGGAGGAGGAGGAGGAGGAGGAGGAGGAGGAGGAGAGGAGGAGGAGGAGGAGGAGGTAGGAGGAGGAGGAGGAGGGGAGGAGGGGGAGGGGGTGGCCCGTCCGGCGCGTGGCCGCGGCGGGGGGCGGCCGCGAGGCGCTGCCCCTCGCGACGCCCAGCTCCGTGCGCGCCAGGCGCGCCCCCCCCCCTTGGCCGCGGGCGGCGGGGAGGGAGCCGCGGGCCGGCCGGGAGTCCCGGGGGGGGAGAGGTCTCGGATGTGGTATGTGTAGATTCTGGGGGTCTCTCTCTCTCTCTCTCTCTCTATATATATATACATATACAAAAAACACTCAGTGCCGAGAGATTGACACCAACACCAAGACCGGCGCTCTGCCTCCACCCAGGGAAGACGGTCCCGATCTCGGTGATGGTAAATAATTCTCTGGCTTCCAAGGTGGCCGACATGTTACCACCAGCACCGGAATCGAGGATCATCTTCACCCCTGTGGAGGCAACCTCCTGTGTTGGTGTTGGTGCCCATTTCCAGGCCTCCACATATATTCGTCGTGATTACGAACGATACGTATATATATATATATATATATACCTATGCGACCACCCTTCGGGTGATAAGGAGGTTCGGGGGGGAACCAACATCTCACTCGATCGGTCTCACTATCGATCTCAGTATCGATCTCACTATCGGTCTCGCTCGATCGATCTCGCTCGATCGATCTCACAATCAATCTCACTCGATCTATCTCATTCGATCGATCTCACAATTGTTGTCACAATCGAACTCACAATCGATCACACAATCGAGCTCACATCCGGTCTCAATATCCATCTCACTATCCAGATCACAATCACTCTCACAATCAACGTCATCATCATCATCATCATCATCATCATCATCATCATCAACATCAACATCATCACCAACATCTTCATCATCATGAGGGCACCGTCATCATCATCATCATGAACATCATCATCAACGTCAGCATCATCATCGGGACATCATCATCACCATCATCATCTCATCAACAACATCATCATCATCATCATCGGGACACAGTCATCGTCATCATCATCAGCAGCATCATCATAATCATCATCACTATCGGGACACCATCATGATCACCATCGTTCTCATCATCAACATTATCATCAGCATCGTCATCATCCTCGGGACACCATCATCATCATGATCATCGCATCATCATCATCATCGACATCATCATCAACAACATCATCATCATCATTGGGGCACCATCATCATCATGAGCAACATCATCATCAACATTGTCATTATCATAATCATCATCATCGGGACACCATCAGCATCACCATCATCATCACCATCATCATCATCAGCATCATCATCGGAACACCATAATCATCAACATCATCATCATCAACATCATTATCGCCTGGACACAATTTCCATCAACATTATCATCACCAACATCATTGGAATCATCATCATCATCATCGGGACACCATCATCGTCATCATCATCCACATAATCATCATGAGCATCATCATCCTCATCATCTGGACACTATCATCATCATCGACACCATCATCAACATCATCATCATCTTCTTCGGGACACCATTATCATCATCTCATCATCTCATCATCTCATCTCATCTCATCTCATCTCATCTCATCTCATCTCATCTCATCTCATCTCATCTCATCTCATCTCATCTCATCATCATCATCATCATCATCATCATCATCATCATCATCATCATCATCATCATCATCATCATCATCATCGCGGGGCACCGCGGGACACCGGCGGGACACCGCTGGACACCGCGGGACACCGCGGGACACCGCGGGACACCGCGGGACACCGGCGGGACACCGCGGGCCCCCGGCCGCCCGGAAGGGAGACATTTGGTCCGGCCGCGCCTCAGCCACACGGGACACCAGCGGGACACCGGCGGGACACCGCGGGGCCCCGGCCGCCCGGAAGGGAGACATTTGGTCCGGCCGCGCCTCAGCCACAGGAGCTTTTCTCTCGCCCGCCCACGCAGCTTCGCCTCGCGCGCACGCACGGCACGCACGAACACGAAACCGAAATCGATTTCCCGGTGGGGGGGCTCTCCTCTCTACTTCGATCTCACCCCCTCACCTCCGATAGATGTATGTATGTATGTTTGTATGTATGTATGCATGTATGTATATGTATATGTATATGTATATGTATATGTATATGTATATGTACATGTACATGTAGATGTATATGTATATGTGTATGTGTATGTATATGTATATGTATATGTATATGTACATGTATATATGTATGTATATGTATATGTATATGTATATGCATGTGTATGTGTATATGTATTTGTATATGTATACGTATATGTATATGTATATGTATGTGTATATACATATGTATATGCATATGTATCTGTATATGTTTATGTATAGGTATATGTATATATATGTATATGTATATGTATATGTATATGTATATGTATATGTGTGTATGTGTATATGTATATGTATACGTATACGTACATGTATATGTATATGTATAGGTATATGTATGTGTATGTGTATATGTATATGTTTATTTATATGTATATGTTTATGTATGTATGTATGTATGTATGTATGTATGTATGCATGTATGCATGCATGTACGTATGTATGTATGTATGTATGTATGTATGTATGTACGTCCGGGCGGCCTCCTCCTCCTGTCCTCCGCGGCCGCCTGTCCAAACATGGCCTTGCCTTCGAGGATCGAAGGAGTTGTCATCTCTTCCTCGGCGGAAGGCGGCGGCGGGCGGCGGAAGTAAACTGGCGGCGGCTCCGCCGGCGGAAGCCGGCGGGAGCTCGGCGGAAGCCGGCGGAAGCAAAGGTGGACCTCCCAGGAGATGACAACAGTTTTTTTTCTTTGGACACCCGAAATGGGTACCGAAAGAATGGGTACAATGCCCAACAACAAATGTTGTCCCAAACCAACAGCGGCCGCTGTTGGGCAGGCGGCCTTCTGTCTCAAATGGACACAGGCCGCGGCGGCGCGGTCAGCGAGTCCTGTTCAAAATGAACAGGGACTGCTGTTGGGCATTGTACCCATTCTTTCCGTACCCATTTCGGGCGTCCAAATTTCCAGTTTTGGATTCAGGGTTTCCGGATTCCGCCATATGGTCGAGGGTTGGCCCTCCCAAGTGCTAATGCCATCTTGCCCCCTCCCCCCCCGCGCGATGCCCCCCCCCCCCCCCCCCCTGTGGGAGTGGTGTGGGGTCCCCCCTGTGGGTGTGCGGTGGTTAGGGGTCCGCCTGAGCCAAGAGTCGGCGTCGCTGGCGCAGCCGCCGCCGCCGTGTCGTCGTCGTCGTCGTCGTCGTCGTCGTCGTCGTCGTCGTCAGCGTCGGCGTCGGCGTCGTCGTCGACGTCTTCGCCATCGTCGTCGTCCTCAGCCTTTGCCTCCGGAGAGTGGCGGCTACATGGGGAGAGGAAGCGGGAGGGGGGAGCAAGGTAGGGAAGAGAGGGCCAAAAACGAGGAGGGATGGATGGAGAGGCGGATGGGGGGAGGAGGAGAAGGAACATCGTCGTCGACGGTGTCTTCACCGTCGTCGCCTCCTTCTGGGTGTGGCGTTGTGTTCTGGTGCTTCAGGGAGCCGGAGCGGACGGTGTCTTCGTCGTCGTCGTCGTCGTCATCGCCGTCGTCGTTCTCCTCCTCCTCGTCCTCCTCCTCCTCCTCCTCCTCCTCCTCCTCCTACTCCTCCTCCTCTTCCTCCTCCCCCCCCATCCCATCTGGGGGGGGGCGCCGAGGACCCTGGGACCCATCCCATCTGGGGGGTGGTGGGGGGCCGTGGGCCCAGAGCCCGCGATCATGTATATATATATATATATATAGACGTGTATGTATACATGTTGGCCAGCGTGGGCCCCATACAGCGTGTTTCTAGCAGTATCGATTGTGCAGTCTAGGTTGCGCAGTCTAGGTGGGGCAGTCTATGCGGAGCAATCTGCGTGGTGCAACCTATGCCGTGCGATCTACGGTAAGCAACCGATGTTGTACAATCAATGGTTGAATCTATGTGGTGCAATCTATGTTGTATAATCTCTGCGGCGCAACATATGTTGTGTAATCGACGTTGTGCCATTCATGTGGTGCGCAATCTATGTGGTGCAATCGGCGCGGTGCACTGTAAGTGGTGCAGTCTAGGAGGTGCAACACATGCGGTGTATATTTTTTGTTCGTTCTGAGTCGTCACCCCCACTGCTGGCGCAATCATCCCACGCACTCACCTGGTCTCCAAAACCCATGCGGCGGCGATTGCCATGACTGCTTGGCGCTGGCTGGCGCATCATTGCGGCCGCGCTCGCGCAAGCAGGCTCACGCGCAGAGCGGCCAGATAGTCTGGCGCGGCCGACGCGGCCGCAGTGGCCCAGACCGCTGGGGAGTTCCCAGCACGTCTCGCAGGCCGCGCTGACGTGCGGGCACTTCAGTGCGAGTGGGTGGCTCGGGCGGGCGCGGTATCATGGCGATGTCGGCAACGGCGGACGCGATGATGATAGTAGCGATGCTGGTGACGATGGTCACGATGACGGCGGCAAGGCCAATGACGGCGCAGATGCTGATCACGCCGACGATGATGATGATGATGATGATGATGATGATGATGATGATGATGATGATGATGATGATGATGATGATGATGATGATGATGATGATGATGATACTGATGATGATGATGATGATGATGATGATGATGATGATGATGATGGTGCCCACGTGTCCACGGTGTCGGCAGAGTTGAAACGAGGCCGCCTCCGCCGACGGAAGCTGGCGGAAGGCGGCGGAAGTAAAACAATGCTTCCCACTAGATGAACACGTTTTTGGGTGCAGGGTTTTGCATGGGGAGCCGTCCTGTTGGTCATGCTTCGCGAAAGTATTTCTGCGAGGTTTCGGCGACGTATGGGAAGTCGAAGCTCCGCTGCTCGCTTTCTTGGTGATGCGGAGGTGTTTTGGGAGGCTTTGGGGGAAACTTTGCTTCTGATTTTGGACTTCCCTGCGCGCGAGCGCTCTGGCCCAGGCCTCCCAGACAGGGTCCGAGTAGACGGGGTCGGAGGATCGCGCCGCATCGCCGATGCATCGGCGATGCGGCTCGATGCGGAGCCCGACTTCGTCCACGCCGGCGTCGCCGATGCATCGCCGGCGGCGCTGGTGCATCGCCGGTGCGTCACCGATGCATCGCCGATGCATCGGCGATGCAGTGGCGATGCGGCGTGGTCCTCCGACCCCATCCACTCGGACCCCAGCGGGGAGGCCTCTAAATGGGGGAGGGTGGGTCTGTGTGTTTGGGTACCTTCTCTTAAGTCGGGCCTGTCCCTTTACAGGGGGAATATTCAAAAAAATAGTTTAAGATATAGTCTGGGGGCGATTTTTTGACTATTTCTGATCACGTGGCTGTATTTTTTGAGCAGTTTTTATTCACCCGACTTAAACCTTCTCGTCTCGAGCGCGCGTGGTTTTTGCCACGTCGCATGCTCTGTTGTGGTACCCGAAGGGCACGGCCAGGGACGCGCAGGAGGCGAGCGGAGGCAGGTGCGAGGGGCGGCGGGGACGGAGCGGCGCGCCAGCGGCCCACGCGGTTCCGAAGCAAGTCCCCTTCCTGCTCCTCCCCTTGCTCGTCCTCCTCGTCGTCCTTCTCCCTCCCTGATCCTCTTCGTCGTCCTCCTCGTCGTCCTCCCCCCTCCTCGTCGTCCTCCTCGTCGTCCTCCCCTTGCTCGTCCTCCTCGTCGTCCTCCTCGTCTTCCTCCTCGTCGTCCTCCCCTTGCCCGTCCTCCTCGTCGTCCTTCCGTTCCTTGTCCTGATAGAACAGCTCCTCCCTGTCGCGCCCCGAGACGTGTCGGTACAGTCACCCCCCCCCCAGTAAGGATGAGGGCCTTTCTAGGATTAGCCTTGCATTCTTCCCCTTCGGCCCATCCTTGGCCGCTTTCGCTGACCGCGCCCCACTCGCAAAGTGTCGACATGACCTTCCAAGGCCCTTGCATCCTTATCGTGCGCCCTTCTTATATGGGTTGACTGTAGGGCGGGCCGGGCGTTTCGCCCGAGACTTCCCCACCATTTGTGATTCTGGAGCTTCACACTTGCAACCGTTTCACTGCAACATGTGGTTTTCGCCGTAGCGCCGCGAACATTCGTTTTAAACGTTTGTAAGACTTTCATGGGTGGAGGGCGGTTCTTTTTCAAACTTTGGCTCTCGCCTTGGCGCCGCTTGCATGTGTTCTAGCAGCTAGGAAGAGTTTTATGGGTGGATGGGGGGCTCCTTTTGAACATGTGGATCTTGCACAGTTTCGCGGTTGGAGGGCGGTTTCTTTTCAAATTGTGATTCTCGCCTAGGCGAAGCGCGCATTTGCTCTAAACGTTCGGAAGAGTTTCACGGATGGAAGGGGGGGCTTTCAAATTTGGTTCTGGCCTTCGCGCCGTGGGCATTTTTTATTTCAATTTGTCAGAGCTTCACAGATGGAGGGCGGCTGGTTTTCGAAATGTGGTTCTCGCCTTTGCGCATTCGTCCTAAACGTTTCGAAGAATTTCACGGGCGAAGGGTGGTTTCATTTCAAGCTGTGATGCTCGCCTTTGCGCCGCGCGTTTTCGTGTGAACAATCAGAATCACATTTTCTGATTGAGGGCGGCCCCTTTACAATTTGTGGCACTCGCCTGAGCGCCGCGCGCATTGGTTCTAAAAGTTTACAGGGATTTCACCGATGGGGAGGGTACAGTTTTCAAACATGTGGCTGTCGTCTTAGCGCCGCTCGCATTCGCGATTTCTTATGAAAAAGAGGATTCTTATGGTTGACGTCTCAGAAACTGTGCTCCTGTACGATTTAGGTTGCCAGGGCGCAACAGTCACGTTGATTTGCGTTTCTGAAGTCGCAGGAGATGCGTCCTGGCAGGATGAAGGATCGCCAGGATGCACCAATGAGGTTGGTTGGCGGAATAGGAGTCCAACGAGCATTCTCTTGGCACGATTGGAAATTCTCGAAGGCTTGTCTTCAGGGGGGCACTGCAGCAGTGACAACGAACTCGTGCAGTGACCTATGCGGGGTGATCCTTGAGGGAGGGTGTATTGCAATATCGTTAATGCGCCTTGGGTTTACGTAGGGCGTCTTTCTCCTCGTCCCCCTCCTCCTCCTCCTCCTCGTCCTGCTGCTCCTCCTCCTCCTCCTGCTCCTCCTCCTCCTCCTCCTCGTCCTGCTCCTCCTCCACCTCCTCGTCCTGCTCCTTCTCCTCCGCCGCCTCGTCCTGCTGCTCCTCCTCCTCTTCTCCTCCTCCTCCTCCTGGTCTCCTCCGCCTGCTCCGCCCCCCGCGAGGATGATGCTCTGCTCACTGCTGGAGCAGAACCCCACCCTGGCGGACATGGGCGAGTCCGACGGGTTGCCAGCCAGCCACAAGGTCAGGGGCCACATTCGGGGGGGGAATACCCTGGTATCGCTCGGATGTGTGCAAGGTTTCTCGGCGAGGACTATCGAGGAGCATCTTGGGCCACCCTGCGAGACAAGAGGAAGGCCGAACAAGCCGAAAAAGGCACGGGGAATGGGCGTCCGAGCGAGGGCAAGAACAGGCTCAGGGGGGGACGCCTCGGCCCTCGACTGTCCTTCGCCCTCCGACAAGGGGCCCGATACCCCACCCCTTCCCAGGAACGCGCGGCTTTGCCATCGGGGTCCTGTCGCCGGTCTGCCGATCCATCGGCAGCGTATCGCCGACTCCAGGTCGGTGTGCTCCCCGGGCCCCCCCCCCCCAACCTTGCCCCTCCTCAGGGGGACCTGGAGCCGCTGGACGCCCGGAAGCGCGAGGCGGAGCCGGAGGACCCGCACGAGGAGCGTCGCGTATGAACGGGCGAAGAACGGTATAACATATTTTTTTTCGCTGTCGGGGGCGCTTGTCCCAGGGCGGCTGGACAGTTTATACCCTTACGGTGGCATCGTAGGGGTATAAACTTTCCAGCCGCCCAGGGACAGGCGCCCCCGACAGCGAAACAGTTCATCTTATACCGTTCTTCGCCCGTTAAGTGTAATCCCACACGCTGTGCTCGGGCTTCGGCGCGCGAGTCGGTCAGCGCAGAGCACGTGGGCGGCGGGCGAAAAAAAACGGGGTCGACCGCGCGGTCGTCCGCGCGTAGGCTTCCCGCGTGAGACCACGCGTGAGTGCCTTCGTCTCCTCGCGGTGTGCCACGCTGGCGGCCCGCGTCAGCCGCGGCGCGAGGTCGCCACGTCACATCGCGTAAGACCCGTGTCTTTTCGGCGGTCTCAGTGCCTCGTGATTTCCACATTGATGCTTCTGTCAGCTGGAAGTCCCCCCACAATGGGGCTGAGTTGGCGTGCACTCCGAGGGCGTCCCAGGATCATGTCCACGCCGGGAGGTGTGCCCCCCCCCCCAACACCGAGGCGATGAAAGCGAAAGGCAGAGCCGCTCATCAGTTCGCTGTCCTGATGCGTCCTCCGTTGCCCCGACTGGGACACGTTCGCGTGGATCTCGAGACAGCTGAGTATTGCTCAGGCACTCTACGGTCAGACGTGAGGTGGATCGAGCAGCGCTGCCTGTCGGCATCTGACAACAGCGGGGCAGCTGGTGCTAACATCCAGTGCTCTCTTGGAGGGTCTATCTATCGCCCGCTCCCTGTGGCAGGAGATGAACCTGCAGGCTCAGGGCAAGATTATCATCTCCCCCATCGCGAAAGAGCTGCGCACGCGCACCGGGAAGCCGCCACCCGACACACTGGCGCAGGCGTGCAAGTTGAAGGGCTGACTCATCGGCTTAGCAGGAAGAGGTTGATGTGCAATGGGGAGCATGAGCAGGAGGAGGAGGAGGAGGAGGAGGAGGAGGAGGAGGAGGAGGAGGAGGAGGAGGAGGAGGAGGAAGGAGGAGGAGGAGGAGGAGGAGGAGGGGGAGGATGGGGAGGTTGGGGAGGAGGATGAGGTGAAATAGGGAAGAGGGAGAGGTTCGGTTCGATGCGGTCGTCCTCGTGGTCGCAAGTCGAGATCGCAACTGCCATTGGGGATGAGAGCGAGAGTCGGAGGAGGAGGATGATGATGATGATGAGGAGGAGGAGGAGGAGGAGGAGGAGGAGCCGAAGCCAGGCACGACCATTCGACGAGCGTGCGCGAGAGGAACGCGGCCGATGGGGCGGCCGAGCCTCGCCGCGATGCCGCGTCCAAGGCCCGAGCGCCTGCGGTCGGCTTCGCCCTTGGTCGCGTCCGCTCCCAAGAACGATGGGAGGGGAGAGTGTAGTGGAGGCCCATGCCAGGAAGCACCCTGCATGCCTCCAGGGTGCCCCGGGTTTCTTGGGTTTCGGTGGGTTTGGCGATGGAGGGAGGTCGCGGCGCTCCCACACCAAGAATCCGTGGACGTCTTGCGGCCTCAGGGTTGGGTTTTTTGTGGAAGGTTTCTTGTGGACTGGCCTCCACTGTAGGGCTAGCATCTGCGGAGTGCCCCCCCCGCCCCCCCCCCCCCCACACCTCCATAATCTGTTTTATTTGCCCCGCCCAGTTCCCTCACCGCCTTTCTGCCTACAGTGCCCGCCCAGCCTCTCCTGGCTCCGGTCCCCTCCCTGCCTCCCTGCCTGCCCGTCCATCCACCCCATCACTCCCCCCAATCTTGCCTCACTCGCCCTCTCTCGACGAAGGGTCAAGGGAAGGGAGTGTTTTTTTTTTACGTTCGGCAAACATTAAGGCCAAGCTTGTTGTGGTCAGAAGGGAGGATCCTCCTCCTCCTCCTCCTCCTCCTCCTCCTCCACCTCCTCCTCCTCCCTCCTCCTCCTCCTCCTCCTCCTCCTCCTCCTCCTCCTCCTCCTCCTCCTCCTCCTCCTCCTCCCCTCCTCCTCCTCCTCCTCCTCCTCCCCCTCCTCCTCCCCCTCCCCGCCGAGGTGGTGGTGGGGTGGCAGAAGCCGCGAGGCCCGCCTCTTCTCCCTCTCTTTCTGCCCCCCCCCGCCCGAGAGCCGCGAGGCCGCGGTGGGGCGCCAGCGACACCTCGCCGCGCTGATGCGGTCGTGCCTGGACGAGCTGGACGCCCTCCTCGCGGTCGAGGACGCGCGAGAGGGGGGCGCGGCGGGCGGCCCGTCCGCACCATGGGCCCCCTATAGGGGGGCCCCGGCAGGCCACGACAGAGGCGGGGATATCCTGATGGCGGCGGGCGCGAAAGGGGCGCGGCGGGCGTCCCGTCCGCACCACGGGCCCCTATAGGGGGGCCCCGGCAGGCCACGAAGGAGGCGGGGATATCCTGATGGCGGCGGGCCGCGTGCAGGGGAGCAACACGTGGCGTAAACCGAAAAGCTCGGAGGTCCGCGCGGAGTTCTCGGATCGGCGCTGGGCCCCCCCGGCGGCGCCTCCGGCGCCGCCCCCGGCGCGCTCCGCGCGCCAGGGAGGGGGGTCCAGCGCCGATCCGAGAAATCCGCGCGGACTTCCGAGCGTTTATGCTCATGCCACTTTTCTTCCCCCTATCGTGGGCGAAGAGCACCTCGTGGCGTGGCCGTTGGCGCGCAGCTTTCGTGGAAGCGGGAACAGATTGGCGCAGTCGCGTTTTGTCGCCGCTGCCTTCGGAACATGTTGGCAGGACATCATGGTCAGCAAGGGTGAAACATATCCTGGAAGTTCTGGCGCAACCCACTGCGTGCTTCCGCTGGTGACCGCGGCCCTTCCCTGGCAGTTACCCTGAGCAAAGGCGAGCGGTATCGCTACCTTTTGGCTTCCCCACTCTCGGGGGGGCAAGTATATCCGTATCCGCGGCCTCGCGGGCCAGCCCCCTGGGCCGCGGCTGCGCGGATGCGGGGTGCTTCTTCTCGCGGAGGCCCGGCTCGGAAGGCATCAGCGCGTCCGCGTATCCGCGGGCATTGGCGCCCGGGAGTCCAGACCGCGAGGGCGCGGATACGGATGCGTTCGCTGCTCGTGAGGGCCCCGAGTTTTTCCTCCGTTTTGGGCTTCCCAGGGCCCTCCACGGACCCCGGGACTGCCAGATAACGGTTCGGGATGAAGAGCTGGTCCTCGAGGAAGGCTTGGGGTCCAGGACCCGTTTCCTTTAAAGCCCGTTTCTTGCTTGTCCATCGCCTGTCACCGATGTTACACACCCAGATTCGAAAGCCTGGGGCGAGCGCGCGCTTGCCCGTGCTACGGTGCTCGAGATCGCAGCGCTGGAGAAATCAACATCATCACGCCCCACAGCCGGTTCGAAAGTGTCTTGGGCGAGCCCCGCACGACCCCAATGTCAAGAGACACAAGAGATTCCAGCAGCGCTGGAAAGCACACTATCAAGAGAAAAACATCATCCCCTCGCGGTCGATCGGCGCCACCCAAACATTTCAATACGGTGTCTGCGCCGCTCCCAAAGGGGGCGACGCGCGCGCCGAGGAGGCTCACAGTCAGATGCTCCCGCGGGCACTTTCTGGCCGCACCGCTCGGGAAACTCGATACGGCCAACCCGCATAATGAGGATGGGGCAGCCTTCCCAAGGGTGCTCTTGCATCCTTGCCTCCTCGGCCCATCGTTGGGGCCACTTTTGTTGGCCGCCCCCCGCTCGGATCGCTTCGACGCGGCCCTCCAAGGCCCTTGCATCGTCGTCGCGCATTCTTATGATACGGGCCAGGCGCGACCATTCGACGAGCGTGCGCGAGAGGAACGCGGCCGAGGGGGCGGCCGCGCCTCGCCGCGGTGCCGCGTCCAAGGCCTGAGCGCCTGCGGTCGGCTTCGCCCCTGGTCGCGTCCGCTCCCAAAGGGGGTAGAATGCAGTGGAGGCCCATGCCAAGAAACATCCTGCTTGCCTCCAGGGTGCCCTGGGCTTCTTGGACTTCGATGGTTGTGCGATGGAAAGCGCGAGGTTCCCACACCACGCGGGGGTGACGCCCACATGCGACTGGTGCCGCTGGGGCCTTCGCTGGAGCTCCCTATAGGGCCACGAAACGTGTGAAGGGTGTGCCGAAGCTGATGGCGATGATGCTCCCTATGGGGCCACGAAACGTGTGCGGGGTGTGTCGAAGCTGATGGCGGCGATGATGATAATAATGCTGATGATGCTGATGCTGATGATGATGATGATGATGATGATGATGATGATGATGATGATGATGATGATGATGATGATAATGATGATGATACTCATGATGACGATAATGACGATGATGCTGATGAATATTCTGCTGGTGCTGCTGATGATGATGAAGATGATGCTAATGACGATGATGCTCATGACGATGGTGATGATGATGCTGGTGATGATGCTGATGCTGATGCTGATGCCGATGATGCTGCTGCTGATGATGCTGATACTGTGGTTGATGATGATGCTGATGCAGATGATGCTGATGGTGATGTTGATGACTGTGATGATGATGACGGCGACGACGACAGTGACCACGACGACGATGATGATGCTTATGACGATGACGATGACGATTGCGACGACGCTGGTGAGGATGATGATGATGCTGGTGATGATGATGCTGATGGTGATGATGATCATGAGGATGATCATGATGATGATCGTGATGCTGATTATGATGCTGCTGACACTGATGGGGGTGACGATGCTGGTGGTGCTGATGATGCTGACCATGCTGGTGACGATGATGCTGATGCTGCTAATGACTATGTTGCTGCTGGTGATGATACTGCTGATGATGATGATGACGCAGATGATGACGATGATTGTGATGATGATGATGATGATGATGATGATGATGATGATGATGAAAACGATGATGATGATGCTGATGATGATGATGATGATGATAATGCTGATCATGATGCTGATGATGCTGACTCTGATGGTGATGGTGCTGATGATGATAATCACGGTGATGATGATTGTGCTGATGCTGGTGATGATGCTGATGCTGATGTCGACGATGATGTTGCTGATGATGGTGATGCTGATGATGTTGATGTTGATGGAGATGATGATGATGATGATGATGATGATGATGATGATGATGATGATGATGATGATGATGATGATGATGATGATGATGATGAAGCTGATGCTGATGCTGATGCTGATGCTGATGCTGATGCTGATGCTGATGCTGCTGATGATGATGATTTCGATGCTGATGAACATGCTGATTATGATACTGCATATGATGGTGATGATGTTGCTGCTGCTGATGATTATGATGATGATGATGATATTATGATGATTATGATGATGATGATAATGATGATGATGATGCTGATGGTGATGATGATGATGATGATGATGATGCTGATGATGATGATGATGATGATGATGATGGTGATGACGATTCTGACTTGATTATGGTGTAAGGAGGCGGGGAGGAAGAAGAAAGGGAGGAACGCTGGGCGCATTGTCTTCAAAGGGAGGACCCAACACCACAGGATGGTTGGGAATAGTCACGAAGTCGGGGGTCTGGGCATGCACGAGGCTGTGAGCTTGAGCGAGGAAGCAGGAAGCCCTGAAGATGGATCACATCGCAGCAAGGGGCAGCACTGTGGCTTCAGCGCTGCGTCTGGTCGTCTCAACGCCCGGGCCCGAGTCCGTTCTTCAGCGCCGTTGCCCCTTGGCTAGCGCCGAACGATGGCTGCTTTGAAGTGCGACCCGGGCCGAAACAGCAGCGCGCTGCGTACACGACTCCACGCCCACGCAATTTCCGTCTTCGCCTGGTCTCCCGCTGGACGTTGCGGACGCCGCGTGGGAGAGACTGCTGGCTGGGTCTTCACTGGAAGACCGACCTGTTTCGACAGAACTGGGCCGCGCTGGGACGCGTAGTCGGCGAAATCCTCGGATGGCACTACCAAAGCAGCACCGCGCCTGATTTCATTAAGCATGATCCAGTCCCTAACCCAATAACACAATGACGCCGTGACCTAACCTAGGCCCCCGCTTTTTAGGGGCATGCCTAAACAGATGGGTGGCCTCGTCTGACACACCCGCAACACCCCCCCCCTGTCCCTGATGTGTCTGGCTCCCTTAACTTGGGTGTCCCCCCAAAGGGTTAGGGGTACTTCTAATGTTCCCGCTGCAGGAGAAACGTTCAAACATAGTCAAACAATTGCCTGGGGACGATTCTTTTTACTGTTCTTGATTCTTTGGGGACATGCTTTGACTTTTTTTCTGGCTCTTCCTCCAAGATCCGCCTGCAGGAGGACATGCCCGACCTAAGTCTAATGGCTCATCGTGCCGATCTCGGCCCCCGGGGGGCTCCCGCTCTCGCTGGTGCAGCCGTCCTCGGCGGGAGGCGCTCTCCGTGGCTCTCGCGCCCGCCCCTCCGTGGAGCCGTGCTCCTGCGCTGGCGCCAGGCCGCCTGCGACGGCTGCCCGCCTCGAGGGAAGCCGCGCGGGGAGCATGGCCACGACGTCGCGGGGTCTTGTCGATGCCGATCCCGGCCATGGTCCGTGTCGTTCCCGCTCCGTGGGGACTGTCCACGGAGTGACGCCGGCCAGGATCGACGGTGACCAATGTCGGCACGACGTTTCCACACGCGGTCTTGGTCATGGTCCTCGTGTTCCTCCCCTCCATTCGCCTGCGCGTAAGGACCTGCGGTGCGGGTCCACAGGGCCACCCCCCGCATTGGCTGGCGCGCTTGGATTGCTTGAATTTGCCCCCCCTTCACCCCCCACACGCGCCCCCCTCGAGGCCGCGCGCCACAGGTCCCTGTTGGATCCGCTGCTCTCTCTCTGTCCGCTCGGCATCGCATCCAGATGCACACGCTCGCGGCCTCGTGCCCGGGGCCGGGGCTCCCTGCTCCTCAGCCAAGGGCAGCCCCCGGCGCTCGCAGGAGTGCGACCTGAACCCGCCCAACCTGAACGGCATGCAGCAGATCGGCGAGCCTGGCTCCAGGAAAGCCCGGGAGGGCCCTCACTCCGCCTCGTTGTGAAGCAGATCACGGCGGCGGCATGGCTTTGGCCCGTCTTCGGCTGCCTGGGGCCCTCGCCGGGCCCCGGGACCCTGGGGCAACGACTCGGGATGCAAAGCCGGGCGGGGGAAGGGGCCCAGACCTTTGGAGTCCAGGTTGTGAAAAATTGCTCTGTCGCGATTCTGGGGGAGGGGGAGGCGGGGGGCACGTGTTTTTTGTACCCTCTCTCTGGTCTGCGCGCCGTCAGGTCTGTTCGCTCTGTGAGGGTCTTCGGGACGGCCTGGACTCTTCCACCGCAGTTGGACAGCGAGCTCCCAAGCAAGATGACAGGGCCAAGCTCTGCCAAGCTCGGAGGCACCACCACGCATCGGGCGAGGAGAACCATGCACAGACACCGATGCTGGCCAGGCTCATCCTGGGCTCGTGATCTGTGTGTATGTCTCCCTGGCCAAGGCAGAAGGGCGCATGCACCGATCCCGGGTTCAGGATGGGCCTGGCCAGAGTCGGTGCGTGTGCATCGTTCTCCTTCCTCTAACTTGCAGGCCGCGCGCGCACTTTCGGGGGGGGAGAGAGGGGGGGAGGGAGGCAGGGAGGGAGGGAGGGAGGGAGGAGGAGGAGGAGGAGGAGGAAGATGAGTAGGAGGAGTAGGAGGAGGATGAGGAGGAGGAGGACCAGTGTAAATCCAAGAGTCACCAACGATGTTGGAATACACCCTCCCCCCCAAGCTCCCCTTCCATAGTCCCTTACATCGTCGGTTAACTTCACAGATGGACCTGTCTCGTTGGAAGACAACCGTTTGAAGACCCTGGAACATGCCAAAACATTTTTGTCGATATTCCAACGCCACGGATGAACCTGACTGTTGCGTCTTGACGATCCAGAATCGTGCCAGAACGCCATTCCTGGGACCTCAATTCCGCGAATCATCGTAACTGTTCTGCCCTCAAAATCGTGAACCCTTCCAAAACAGCATTTCTGGTACGTCGATCATGAGAACCCGTGAAACTTTCGCAATGTTGTATCAATAATGTGCGCGGTGCTGAGGCGGGAGCCTCATTTTGAAAAGGAGCCGCCCTCAATCCGTGAAGCTCTTGGATGTTTCACAACGAATGTGCGCGTCGCTAAGGCGAGAACCACAATAAAAAACTACCCGCCCTCAATCCGTGAAGCTCTAGCATACGTTTAACACGAATGCACGCGGCGCTAATGCGAGAGCCACATTTTGAAAACCACCCGCCCTCAATCCGTGGAGTTCTTGCGATTGTTTTGAACGAATGTGCGCGGCGCCAAAGCGAGAGCCACATTTTGAAAACCACCCGCCCTGAGTCCGTGAAGCTCTTGCAGTGTTTTACGACGGATGTGCGCGGCGCTCAGGCGAGAGCCACGTTTTGAAGACGCCGAAGAGGAGGCCGAGGAGGAGGAGGAGGAGGAGGAGGAGGAGGAGGAGGAGGCCGTGGAGGAGGAGGAGGAGGAGGAGGAGGAGGAGGAGGAGGAGGAGGAGGTGGCAGAGGAGGAGGCTAGCTCCCTGCGACCGTGCCCGGGCACCACAGCTAGCCGCCGCCGCGCCGCTGGCTGCGGCGACCGGCACACACCCTGCATCGCCCGGGTCCCTGCCATAGTTGCGGAAGCGCGAAGGACTTTTTGTCCGAAGGCCCGTTTCTGCTCCTGCTCTCCTGCTCCTGCCGTGGTCTCCTGCCCCTGCTCCGGCCAATATTCGAACAAGAAGCAAACTGCACAAGCCTTTTTTTGTTTTGCGCTCCGCGCGGATTTCTTGGATCCGCCTTGGCGGCGCCTCTGGCGCCGCCCCTGGCGCGCTCCGCGCGCCAGGGAGTGGGGTCCAGCGCAGATCCAAGGAATCCGCGCGGAGCGCCAAAAGTTTCTGTTGGTGCCGCTCGTTTTTTTTTGTTTTTTGTTTTTTGTTTTTTTATTCTTGATTTTTGAAATACATCTCGGCGGCTCCGCTCCCGCCCGCGAGCGGCCCGCATCCTTTCTGTTCTCGCCCAGGTCGTCGGCAGCGGGGCCGCGCGCGATCGCCTTCCGCTCGCCGGGCGGGGTCCAGGCCCAACGCCGCCCTGTGCTCCCGCTCCCGCTCGTGCTGCGCCTGCTGCCTCCGCTGCGGATGCTGCCGCCCGCCGCGAGAGACGCCCCGGCAGGGAGCGGCCTCCGCTGAAGACGCTGCCGCCCAGGGACTCCTCGTGCCTGCGGGAACAGGCGGGGCTCCGGCCTCCTCGCCTCCTCGCTTCCTCGGGGCAGGGGGTGGGGGGGGGGGGCGGGGGGGGGGGGGGTGGGGGTGGGGGGGTTCGGTAGCAAATCACGGGAGCCTTGTGTACTCTCGCAAGTCCGCCTTGAGCGTCGATTAGCGTCGATGAGCGTCTGGGAGTCGGTTTGCGTCGATTCAGCGTTGATTTAGCCTCGATTAACGTCGATTGGGCGTAGACTAGCGTCGATTCGCGGGAGCCGACGAGAGGGCATGGGCGGCTCCCATGAAAGGCCACCCAAGGAGGGCGAGGGGACTGGACAGAGGGACCACGCGCATGGCAGGCAAGCAGGGCAGGACGGCGGGAAAAGGAGGAACGAGCCAGGCCGGGAGCGGGAGAGCTGGCTGGTCAGGAGGAGGGACAGGGCGATAAGCACGGCGGGTGGCAGAGATACAGTGTGTGAGAGAGAGAGAGAGAGAGAGAGAGAGCGAGAGAGCTGCACTCAGCTGTTATCGAAGCTCTCCAAATCCAGGGCGAACCGTCGTGCTCGAGCAAGAGCAGATGCAGTCAACCCGCACAGTAAGGGTGGGCAACCTTCCCAAGGGTACCCTTGCATCCTTGCCACCTCGGTCCATCTTTTGCCACTTTCGTTGGCCGCGCCCCGCTCGAAGAGCCTCGACATGGGCGTCCAACGCCCTCGCATCCTTATCGCGCATCCTTCGATACGGGCCGACTGTAGGCTGAACGCCAACTCGTTACTGTAGTGCTTGCTGCCTGAGCCTTGCAAATGACGGTTGGGATCGGCCCGCGCTGCGTGACAGCATGACATGCCACGTTCGCTTCGCGTTCCAGCTTCGATGTGATCTACGAGTCGAAGCCGTCCTGCCGAACTCGGGCCGCTTGCGAACTGCGTGGACCTGCCTCGGCGCCCGCGCGAAATGCATCTCGCCGCGCGCGTGGGCGGGCCGCGGCGCAAGCCTCACCCCTTGAGAGACGCGGCGGGGGGGGGCGATGACGATGACGATGACGATGATGATGCTGATGATGATGATGATGATGATGATGCTGATGACGATGATGCTGATGACGATGATGCTGATGATGCTGATGACGATGCTGATGATGCTGATGATGCTGTTGATGCTGATGATGCTGATGATGATGCTAATGATGCTGCTGCTGATGATGCTGCTGATGGTGATGATGGTGACTGCATCGTCATCGTCATCGTCATCGTCATCGTCATCGTCATCGTCATCGTCATCGTCATCGTCATCGTCATCATCGTCGTTGAATGGCGGCAACTGGAGCCAGCGACAAGTTATGCCGAGAGTGGCCGCGCTGGCGCCGTCAGTGGCAATGTTAGGGTTGTTCTCCTGCTCTTTCCTCGTCCTCCTCCTCCTCCTCCTTTCCCCCTCCTCCTCCCTCCCCCTCGTCCTCCTCCTCCTCCTCCTCCTCCCTCTCCTCCTCCTCCTCCTCCTCCTCCTCCTCCTCCTCCTTCCTCCTCCTCCTCCTCTTCCTCCTCCTAGGCACTTCGTTTCCTGGCCTGTTCCGCCCTCCATCCTGTTTTACGCCTCCGTCCTCCTCTCTTCTGCATCCTTGGGCCCCTGCTGCGTTCCCCAGCCTGTTCGCCCTTCCGTCCTCTTCGTCGCATCATCGCCCCTCGCCTTATGATGTTCCAACCTACTTTAGCCTTGATCACCCAGGATAATTTCGAGCTCCCCCAAAAAGCACCGGAACTCGAGGGTTTTCGCATGTCGGGCCCTGGGAGGCACTCGTCCGACACTGTTTCGACACTGTTTCGACACCCTTTCGACACTTTTCTGGATGCTCGAAATTATTTCTGGGATGTGGTCCTTAAGTACGATGGGAGCAACATAACCCTCGCCCGTTCCCCCCTCCTTCCCTCGCCCTGTAGATGTCCCGTCCCGCTCCACGTCTTCCTCCTCGCTCCCCCGTTCCCTTTCCTGGGCGGTTGCCCCTCGCGTGCACGAGTGTGTCGCACGAGGAGGCGCAGGAGGTATGGCAACGGCGTGGGGGCATAGCCACGGCAGGCCACCAGCGACTCGCGCGAGCCGCCCAACATGTACTCCGACCTGATGCCCCTGCGCCTGCACTGCGGGCGGCCGCCCGAGCGGACGCCCTCTTCGACCCCGGAGGGTTTGCACGTTTGGAGACACGACGTCGTCGTCGTCGTCGTCATCGTCGTTGTCGTCGTCGTTATCGTTTACCTCCTCCTCTCCATCTAGTTCTCCCCTCCACCCGCCTCCCCATGGGGTGGCGCCACATGCACTTCCTCAGCGTGAGCCATCTTGGCGAGATCGTCGACGAGTTCCGCCAGGCTGGGGAAACGCAGGCAAGAGAGGCATTGACCTGGACTCTTCCTTCGCTCCGCCTGTAGCTTGGCCCTCCAGCTTCCTCTGTGCCTTTCTTCTCTCCCCCGTGGCGCGCCCGTGGCAACCTCGGGGAGGCGCGGCATCAGGGGGAGGGAGGCATCCCGGCCCCCACAATATCCACTTCTACCCCCATCTCTTCCCCCCCTCTCTCCTTTCCCTTCTCCGCGGCACTTACGGCGGGTTCGTGCCGTGCTGACCAGCGGCGGCCCCGCTGCTGGCATCCAATGTTGAACGCCGCCTGCGACACAGACTCGGCTTGGTCGATGTTGAACGATCGGATGGTTCGACAACGACCGATCCTTCAAAGTGGAACGACCCCTTTCGGAAGCAGCAGCCAACGCCGAAGTCGGCACGGCGTTGCTCTCCTGTATCCCCTGTGGTTGTCCAGCGCGGGGCCCACCTCTCCCGCGTATCGCTTAGTCCGCGCAGGACTTCGAACGTTGGCATGGTACTTTGTTTTATCGGATCGCGTCGGCCCTCCTTCAAGTGCGCCCCCGCCGCAGCGTTCGTGAGCCTACCTGGCTTGCCCTCTCCCACTTTCTACAATTACACTTGAGTTGGGCATGTCCCTCTACAGGAGGAATCTTCAGTGGTGGTTTTGAATGCGATGGTGACGATTTCTCTTGCTATTTTGATCATGCTCGTTTTCTTCGACGACGCTTTTCTTCCAAAGCCCACTGGTGGGAGGATACGCCCGGCCTAAACTTACACCGCGTGGGTACAACTGTCCTGTCTCCCGAGAGCTTGTCCAGAATATCTCCGGCCCCCCTCCGTGCCCAGTCTTCGTGCGCGCAGGGTCGAGCTGATTTTTTTGTTCAATGGGCTTGTACAATTTGAAGGTTTTGCGGTGGTCCCGCTGCAGCGTGGGCCTCGTTTTTGGAATGGCGCTGTTCCCCCGTAGATTAGAGTGGCGCTGTCGCCCCAGCGCGGGCCACTCTTCTGCGTCCGCGTCCTTGTCCATTCGTGTCGTCCCTCCCTTTTCCCCCCCCTCCGCTTTCCCTTGGTCCCCCTGCTCCTCCCACTCGTTCCGCTCCAGTTCCTGCTGGTGCTACTCGTCCTCGTTCTCCTCCTTCCTCATCCTCTTCTTTTTCTTGCTGCTCATCCTCCTACGCGCCCGCCTGCCTCCTCCTCCTCTCCGTTTGTGCGCAGTTTCCCTTTTCCGGTTGCGCGTAGCCCGATGGAACTTTTTTTGGAGTCCAGGTCGGCTATGGCACGCGCCGGCGGATGAAGTAACACCATCGCAATGGGAAATAACGGAATGGGGGAGATAGGATGTCAGATCTGTCGCGAGCGCGGCGCGCATAGCTTGCCTTTTCGCCCTGTCCCCTCGCCCCTTTCTCGCTTTCCCCACCTCCCCCTCTCCTCTCCGCCCCACTCCGCCTCTCCCTTTTTCAAAGCCCCGACAGGAGGTGCTGGCGGATGCCGCGCCCGCAAAAATGGGAAAGCACCGCAGCACACACGCATTGCTGCAGACACTCGCCGGGACCCTCCTCTTCCAGCACCCCCGCATCCCTTTTCCCTCCTCCTCCGCCTCCTCCTCCTCTTCTTCTTTCTCCTCCTCCTCCTCCTCCTCCTCTTCCCCCTCCTCCTCTCTCCTCTCCTGTCCTCTCTTCTCCCACGTAATTTCCTCCCCCCCCCGTTCCCCAAGTCACCCCGCCCCCTCTCCCCCCGTTCTCCCCCCGTCGTCACCCCGGCCCCTCTCTGACTGACCCCCCGCTCGCCTTGGCGTGCCCCCTCCCCCCTGGCTGTGAGGCGTGAGGCTGCGGCGTCGTCCTCCTCCTCGTCTTCCTCCCCTTGGACCCCTGAGTTCTCTGCCTTTGCCTCCTCGCCCCCCCCTCCCCCTCGCACGGTGTGCAGGGTGTTTTGCCTCCGTGCCCGTCGCGGGTGTTCCTCGCGCGTCGCTTCTCCGGGTCGTCTCCCTCGGTTCCCGCCCGAATTGTCGAGCGTTCCGATTCCGATTTGGATTCCGGCTTCGGGCCGCCCCGAACGTTCCTTGTAAGGTTCGGCACGCCGATCCCGAGTCAGAGTTTTCGTTTCCCCCCCGTCCCGTGGCTCGCCTGCCGCCCACCGCCCCCCTGGCCAGGATGCGAGGCGACCTCGTCGTCGTCCTCCTCGTACTCGCGGCCCCTTCGCCTGGCCTCCTGGATGCCGCGCGCAGTGGGCGCGGCACTGGCCCTGGCAGTGTTGCGAGCTCGACTTGCGCCGCCGAGGACGCCCGAGTTGAATCGAACCTCTTCGCCCTCCTCGTCGTCGTCGTCGTCCTCCTCCTCCTTGTTCCTCCCGTTTCCGGAAGACATGGAGGGCGAGGAGGTCAGGATGATCCGGGAGGGAGGGTTCGAGGAGGACTCCTCCAACTCTCCCACCCGATTCCTCCTAACCGCTCTCTCCTGACGGGCGTGTCACACTCGCCTCCCCAGGTTGTGAGGCAACCTTGTTGTCGTGGTTGTTGTCGCCGCCGTCGTCGTCGTCGTCGCCGCCGCCGTCGTCGTCGTCGTCGTCGTCGTCGTCGTCGTCGTCGTCGTCGTCGCCCCCGCCGCCGCCGCCACCGTCGCTGTCGTCGTCGTCGTCTTCGTCGTCACCATCGCTGTCGTCGCTATCGTCGTCGTCCTCCTCCTCCTCCTCCTCCTCCTCCTCCTCCTCCGCCTCCTCCTCCTCCTCCTCCTCCTCCCCTTTTTCTTCTTCCTCCTCCTCATCCTTGCCCCATGTGTACAACATCATTCGCCGTCTCCTCGCACTCCTCCCCCTACTCCTCTCCCTCATCCTCTGGTCTCCCGTGCGCCGCATCATTTGCTGTCTCCTCGTACTCCCCCTCTTCCCCCTCCTCCTCCTCCTCCTCCTCCTCCTCCTTCTCCTCCTCCTCCTCCTTCTCCTCCTCCTCTTCCTCCTCCTCCTCCTCCCCCTCCTCCTCTCGTCCTCCTTCTCCTCCTCCTCCTCCTCCTCCTCCTCCCGCTCCTCCTCCTCTCCCCCCCCTCCTCTTCCTGGGCAAAGCATAGCGGCGGACGCATGTCTTTCCACCACCTGCACTGGGCACGCGGCTGAGGGTGCACATTGCAACGACCCCTGAGAGGGAAACTCGCGCACAGACTGCACGAACAACTGGAAAAGTTATCCAGCGTAATAACGTCAACAGGGTGATATAAATTGAAGTAAGAGTAAACTCTCTAGAGTGCTGTGAAATAGTAAATATGGTGGGGCTTCACTCCCCCTCCAATCCTTTTCTTCGTGAACAAGTAGCTTCTCCATGTCGCACCCTGAGGCAGGCCGGAAGGGTGGGACGGGCGGTTTGCCTGAGACGTCCCTTCCAGTTATGACCCTGAAGCTTCAACATTGGCAACAGTTTCACGAATGGAGGGCGGGTTGCTTCTAAACTTTGGCTCTCGCCTCAGCGCCGCGCACGCTCGTTTCAAACATTTGCAAGAGTTTCGCGAGCGGAGGGCGGGCCGCTTTCAGAATGTGCCTCTCGCCCCAGCGCCGCGCACAGTCGCCAAACGTTGCAGGAGTGTCATGGGTGGAGGGCGGCTCCTTCTCAAGATGTGGTTCTCGCCCCTTCGGCGCCGCGAGCACGTGTCTTATCTGGTGTAAAAGGCTCCGCGGGCGGAGGGCGGCCCCTCTTCAAGCTGCGGCTCTCTCGCCTTGCTGCTGCCCCAAAGTCGTTAAGGGACATGCGCGAGTTTCGCCGGTCCTCACGGTTAACGTAACAGACATGGTGTTCTGGATCGGTGTAGGACTGTGAGGGCGCTACTGCTACGCTGACGCTGATTCGCGGTGGCGACGTCCCAGGAACGGTGTTCCGCCGTGGTTCAGGATCGCCGAGATGCAACAGTAAGGTTGATTCGTGGCGTTGAAGTTTTAAGAATGGTGTTCTGGCGCGGCTAGGCATTGTCAAACGGTTGTCTCAAACGATTTGGTCTAACGGGGTTTCCAGTGGGAATCCATCCTTCTAGGGGGCAATAGAAACGGAGATTGGAGGGAGGGTTTATTGCAACATCGTTACTGAGTGGTGTGTCTACACTGGTGCCCCTCCTCCTGCTCCTCCTCCTCCTCTCCTCTTCCTCCTCCTCCTCCTCCTCCTCCTCCTCCTCCTCGCTGGTCTCATTTCCGCGGTTTCGGTCCTTTGAAATCGTGCTCCCGCTGCAGCGCTGATCTCATTTTGCGCTTCCCGCTTTCCAAACCGTCCATTTGCATTCCCGTCCTGTGTCATGTCTGGCCCTCCTCTGATCTTGTTGTCGAAATGAGTCGCGTTATCGACGTGATGCCATGCCATGCCGTGCTCTACCATGCATCACGTACCCTCTCGGGACCATCTCCTTGTTCTACCTCCGACTGTGCGGACAGAGAGAGGAGCTCTGCGCCATGGTCAGGGATGCGAGGGGGGGGGTAGGACGTCGGGCATGACGCTTGCGCACCTGGCTGGTCCCTCGCCCTCTCCTCTCTCCTCCCTCCTGGCGGGCGTGCTGCCTGGAGGAGGAGGAGGAGGACGAGGAGGAGGAGGAGGAGCCCGAGGCTCCGGCTGGCCTCGCTGCAGCTCCGCCTGGGGGAGCTGGACGCCGCCGGCGAGCTGCTCCGCGAGGCGGAGGCCGCCGCACTCGCGCCCGCCCGCCCGCCGCGCCCCGCCGCAGCCGCCAGCGCCAGCCAGCCGCCGACGAGCTCGCCGCCGAGGTCGCCGCCGCCGCCGCCGTCGCCGCAGCCGCGCCGCCGTTGTCGGCGGTGCCGTCGCCGGCGTCACCGTCGTCGAGCACGCCGTCGCCACCGCCGTCGCTGCCGCCTGCGTTTTTACAAGGGGTCTGGGGAGGGCACCTCCCCCAATCCATGTTTGCGCGCCCCCGTGATGACACCGATAAGGAGGAGGGAGGGGATGCGGGGGAGCGGCCAGGCTGTTCAAATTATCTCGGAGAAGGACCCAGCCATATGCAGTTGTGAGTACCGCAGTTGCGAGTTCCGCTTTCGGTGGAGCTCCCTGTGGGGCCGCGAAGCGCGTGAGGGGTGTGCCGGAAGGGGGGCGGGTGGCGCCATGCGAACCCTGATGGGGCCGCGAAGCGTGTGAGAGGCTGCTGATGGGGCCGCGAAGCGTGTGAAAGGTGTGCCGAAATGGGTGCGTTGGCGCCATGCGAACTCTGCCACTGGGGCCTTCGGTGGAGCTCCCGATGGGGCCGCGAAGCGTGTGAGGTGTCTGCCGAAATGGGTGCGGTGGCGCCATTCGAACCCTGCCGCTGGGGCCTGCGGTGGAGCTCCCAATGGGGCCACGAAGCGTGTGAGGGGTGTGCCGAAATGGGTGCGGTGGTGCCATGCGAACCCTGCCGCTTGGGCCTTCGATGGAGCTCCCGATGGGGCCGCGGGCCGCGAAGCGTATGAGGTGTGTGCCGAAATAGGTGCGGTGGCGCCATTCGAACCCTGCCGCTGGGGCCTACGGTGGAGCTCCCTATGGGGCCGCGAAGCGTGTGAAAGGTGTGCCGAAATGGGTGCGGTGGCCCACTGGGGCCTTCGGTGGAAGGGGTGTGCCGAAATGGGTGCGTTGGCGCCGTGCGAACTCTGTCACTGGGGCCTTCGGTGGAGTTCCCTATGGGGCCACGAAACGTATGAGGAATGTGCCGAAATGGGTGCGGTGGCGCCATGCGAACCTTGCCACTGGGGCCTGCGGCGGGGCTCCTCACTAAGCGTGTGAAGGGTGTGCCGAAATGGGTGCGGTGGCGCCATGCGAACCCTGCCATTGGGGCCTCCGGAGGAGTTCCTTATGGGGTCACGAAGCTTATGAGGGGTGTGCCGAAATGGGTGCCGTTGCGCCATGCGAACCTTGCCACGAGGGCCTTCGCTGGAGCTCCCTATAGGGCCGCGGAACGTGTGAAGGGTGTGCCGAAATGGGTGCGGTGGCGCCATGCGAACCCTGCCACTGGGGTCTTCGGTGGAGCTCCCTGCCACGAAACGTGTGAGGGGTGTCCCGACATTGGCGCGTTGGCGCCATGCTATGGGGCCACGACGCGTGTGAGGGGTGTGCCGACGCAGAGACATGCGGAGGTCAGAGGCAAGGAGAGAGGAAGGATGGAGGAGGGGTCGGAGGAAGTAGGAGGAGACGTGGGGCGCTGTCTCTTCGAAGCGAGGACCCAACACCACAGGATGGTTGTGGAAAGTGTTGTAGATGCCTACGATGACTTAGTATCTTGCCAGTAGCGATGTACACGGCGTACCTTGCCCGTAGCGCTGTAGACATGGTACGGCAGTGCGCGGGGTATTTCACATATCAGTGAGCGCTGTAAGCATTATGGTAATAGTTTGCTGGTTCGTAGTCAGCTGGCTTCAGGCAGGCCAGTCGCTCCTATTGTGATGGCCGGCCGCGCCATCTAGAGCCGTAAGCAACCTTTCATCTCGCGGTGCACAATGGCGATGCGCTCTTTGTATTGGTCTTAGGAGATGCGGCCCGCCTCGTAGACGGCCTCTGTGGTACGGTCCCGCAGCTGGAGTTCACTGACTCATTTGTCCAGGTAGGTGGCTGCGATCTTGCGTGGGTCGCGCGGCAGAGGCTCTTCTGGTGGCCGTCGTAGCTCAGCTGGTTGCCCTCGTAGCTCAGGTGGTCCTCGGAGCTCTGCTGGTAGGCCTCGTAGCTCCGCTGGTGGCCCTCGTAGTTCAGCTAGTGGCCGAAGCAGCTCAGTCAGTAGCCCTCGCAGTTCAGCTGGTGTCCCTGGTCGATCTGCAGGTGGCCGTCGTCGCCTTAGCGGTGGCTCGCGTGGCCCAGCGGCTGTCCCTGGCGGCTCGGCTGGTGGCCGAGGTGACCCTCGCAGCTGAGCGGTTGGCCCTCGCAGCTCAGCTGGTGGCCCAAGCAGCTCAGCTCGCGTGCGACTCTGGCAGTTCTGGTGGCGGTTCTCGTGAATCGGCGGGTGGCCCTGGCAGCTCCGCTGGTGGACCTTGAATTGAAGCTCTGCTGGTGGCCTTCGAAGCTCTGCTGGCTGTCCTCGAGGAGCAGGGGGGGGCGGTTCTCGTGGTCCTGCGGGCCCGGGCGGCTCTCCTGGTGGCCCTCGAGGCTCCGCGCTGGGTGTCCGCGCAGCTCCGCTCGTGGTCCTCTCCTAGCTCGGCAGGTGGCCCGCGCAGCTCGTGCGGGTGGCTCTCTCGAAGCCCTGCGGGTGGCCGCAGGGCGCCTCCGCCTCTCTCCGGTGCACACCTCATGCGGTTCGCGGCCCCGCATGGGTACGGCCCCAGTTCAGAGCCCCGAAGCATCAGGGGTAACTCGGGTCAGGGCTAACTCGGGTTCGTTTTTCGGGATTCGGAACCCGACTTACCCCGGACCCGACTTACCCCGGATAATTCGGGCGTCCAGAGCCCCGAATCATCAGGGGTAACTCGGGTCAGGGCTAACTCGGGCTGGTTTTTTCGGGATTCCGAACCCGACTTACCCCGGACCCGAGTTACCCCGGATAGTTCGGGCGCCCAACCAGTGGGCAAGGTCCCCGCCCTTACCCAATTTCGGTAACCCCCTCATGCGTTCTGTGGCTCCAGAGAGGGGCCCCACCTACTGCCTCAGTAGGCATGTTTGCATGGCGCCTCCGCGCCCATTTCGACACACCCGTCGCACGTTTCGTGGCCTCGGGGAGTTTCACCGAAAGCCGAATTGAGCATGTTTGCATGGCTCCTTCGCTTCGTTCCAGCACACCCCTCGGGAGCTTCGTGGCCTCAGGTTGCCCCACCTACAGCCTCCCCATCTCGGCACACCCTTCGCACGGTTCGTGGACCCATAGGCTCACCTCGACAAGACGTGCTTCAAGATGCAAATTCCGTTAGCGCCTCATGCTGAAACACGTGTCACGGCGCACATGGCGTTATCGCCCATTTGTCTTTTGTCGCGGCGCACATTCATGAGCATATGAGTGCAAAAATTGCCAGATCTCGGACTCTTGAGGGTCCCCCCTCAGCCTGTGGGTCCAGAATGCGACAGTTACGAGGATTTGCATTGGAGACGTTCATGGCGTTGGTGCCCCCCCCCCCCCCGCAAAAACATCTAGATGGCGGTGGCGTGCGTGTCGTCTCCAGTGTTGCACATGCTGTCGTGCTTGGCTGCTTCGCGCCCGACGTTCGTCGTGGCGGCCACCATGATGGATATGTCGCTCCGTCTGGCCTTCAGGCCACGCCGCACCTTGTAGCCGGCCCTTCGTGCCGCAGCCCGCAGCGGCTCGGGCCCCACGAGGCCCGCAGCGTTGCTCTCGCAGCCAGTTCTCGTAGCACTCCTCTTGCCTGAGGCCGGCCCCGCTTCCCCTCGGCCCCGAGTGCGGGGGCGATGGCTGCCGCTCCTCCATCTCTTCCTCCTCCTGCTCCTGCTCCTGCTCCTCCTCCTCCTCCTCCTCCTCCTCCTCCTCCTCCATTCTCCCCCTCCCTCCCTCCCCCCTCCCCCCTTTTCTCCTCCTGTTCCCTTCCTCTTCCTCCTCCTCCTTCTCCGCGTCCTCGTCCTCCTCCTCCTTCTCCTCCTCCCCCCTTTCATTGTATGCAGGTTTCAAGCTTCGCTAGACGCGAGGGGGAGCTTTGCTCCATGTTCTGTTTAAACATGTTTCAGCCTTCCTCCCTCCCTCCCTCCTCCCTCCGCTCCTCCTCCTCCTCCTCCTCCTCTTCCTCCCTGTTTCCTCTTCCCCGCCAGAGATTCTTGGCCCGACCTTCCCAGTCGCCTTGGCCTTGACCGTCACTTCCTCCTCCTCCTCTTCCTTCTCCCTCCTTCTCCTCCTCCACCTCGCCCCGCCTCCCGCCCGCAGGGTTGGCTGGTGGCGTATGTGGCATGCGCGCCACCCCGCCAGCCCCCTTGTTGTGAAACCGCCTCCCGCCCCAGAGGTGCGGCTGACCAGGTGCGCGAACCTGCTGCCCTGGCTCTTCGTGCAGTTCTGCGTCCTGAAGCTGCAGGAGCCTCCGGCACGCCCCTCTCCTCCGACGGCGCACTTTTTTTTCGCTCGCGACGTCGGCCCCCGATGGTCCCCACCGCTTCTCCCCCCCCCCCGACGCCGCAGTTCTGCTTCGCGACCCGGGCCCCCGACGATCCCGACCCCTCCACCGGGGCTGGATCTTCACCACCATCTCTTTCGACTAGGCGTAGGAGTGACCTTTCGCCGGAGTGACCTCTGGTGCGGGCCCACCGGGTTCCTCCGGTCGCCAAAGGCGATGCGACAGCAGCGTCTTGCGCGCTTGCGTGTTGGCCCCCCCCCGCGGTCCCCCAAAAGCCGCGCACCAAAGGTCACTCTTCCCCAGGGTCACTCTTGCGCGCAGTCGACTCCTGGATCCTAGATGGGGTCGGAGTAGATGGGGTCGGAGTATGGCGCCGCATCGCCGATGCATCGGCGATGCGGCTCGATGTGGAGCCAGATTTGATTCCACGTTGACGTCGCCGATGCACCGCCGATTTCGACGTTGCATCGCCAGTGCATCGCCGATACATCGCCGATACATCGCCTGTGTATCGGCGATGCGGCGCGATCCTCCGACCCCATCTCCTCCGACCCCATCAAGGAGGCCTCTACCCTTCGGCTGCGGAGGGCTCGGGGTTCTACTGGCAGAGGCCCGGGCCCCAAGAGTGTACACCACCGCGCCGATTCCTCCTCCCTCCTGCAAACCTTTTAGCCTCCTCTCATCTTTCCTGGGGGCGGGAGGGGATGAGGGAGGTGGTGGTGGTGGTGTATACTTTTGGGCCCCGTAAGAGGCCCGATGCCTCGAGAGGTGGTGCCGCGGCGGGCACGGTTCGTGCGCCATCCGTCGTGCGGGGCCCGTCGTGCCTGGCGTCATCTCTCGCGCGAGGGCCGATCTGTGGCACGCTTCGGGGCCCGCACGTGGTGCCAAATTCCCTTCCATCCCTCTCTCCCCCTCCTCTCTCCCTCTCTCCTTCCGTTTTGATTGTTCTCTATTGTTTTTTTGTTTGTTTCTCTCTCTCTCTCTTCCCCTCCATCTTTCTCGCTCTCTTGTGTTCTCAGTGTTCATCCTGTGCTGCTGCTGCTGCTGCTCTTCCTTCTCCTCTTCCTTATTCATCTCTCATCCATGGCCATCTTGGCTCAAGTCATTTAGGCTCCAGCCCCTGGCTTGCGTCGCGGCGCGGTACATTAGGGCTGCTTCGGTTGTGGTGATGGGAGAAGGCGGTTTTGGCAAGGGCAAGCCTGACGGCAAGGGAAAGAAGGGGAAGAAGGGAAAGAAGGGCGGCAAGAAGGGCGCCGAGGAGAAGGAGTGGGTGCCCTGCACTAAGATCGGGCGCCTCGTGAAGGAAGGGAAGATCACGTCAATCGAGGACATTTACTTGCACTCTCTGCCCATCAAGGAGTATCAGATCATCGACCAGTTCTTCGCCCCAGGCACCCTCAAGGACGAGGTCATGAAGATCCATCCTGTCCAGAAGATGTCCTCTGCCGGCCAGACCAACCGATTCGTCTGCTACGTGCTCGTCGGCGACAACAACGGCCACATCGGGCTTGGCTCCAAGTGCTCCAAGGAGGTCGCCACGGCCATTCGCGGCGGCATCATCGCCGCGAAGCTGAGCCTCATCCCAGTGCGCCGCGGCTACTGGGGCAATAAGATCGGCCTGCCGCACACGGTGCCGATGAAGGTTGCGGGGAAGTGCGGCTCCGTGAGGGTCCGGCTGGTCCCTGCGCCGCGCGGGTCCAGCGTCGTCGGATCCCCCGTGATGAAGAAGATGCTGGCCTTCTGTGGCATCCAGGACTGCTTCACCTGCTCCTGCGGGCACACGAGGACCAAGGGAAACTTCATCAAGGCGACCTTCGACGCCCTGCGCGCGACCTTCGGCTACCTGACGCCCGACCTGTGGAAGCCCACGCACTTCATCAAGTCTCCCTTCCAGGAGCCGAAGGGCGCCACCTTTGCGCCTGCACCGATCCTGGCCAGGCCGTTCCTGGGCCCCGGCTTTTGGTGTGCACGGTTTCCTGGCGAAGCCAGGAGGGCGTGATACGAAGATCCTGGTTCTAAGTCGGGCCTGTCCCCCCACAGGGGGAGCTTCGACGAAAAATAACAAATATTCCAAAAATAGTCAAACAATAATCCAAACATAGTCTGGGAACCATTTTTAAAGTATTTGTTTGACCTTTTTGGGGTATTTTTCAGATTTCGTCGAAAATCCCCCTGTAGGGGGACAGGCCCGACTTAATCCTGGTTCCAGGATGGGCCTGGCCAGGATCGGTGCATAGCGTGCAGCTAAGGCGGCGCGCCGAAAGGGGGCAAAGCGAGGCGGGGCGGGGGCCCTCTCGGAGGGCGGCGGGGCTGCTCAGAAGCCCTCCCCACGGAAGGCCGCGCGCGCGTGCGCGCCCTCGTCTCCTCTTGGTGTGCCACGCTGGCGGCCCGCGTAGGCCACCGCGCAAGCTCGCCATGCCATCTCGCGCTAAGGCCCCTGTCGTTGAGGCAGTCTCTCTTTCGATTCGGGCGCGCTTACTTGCATGGCTGTGTGTGTGTGGTGAGCCCCGATTCTGGTCTTCGTGAGTGGGGACTCACTTGCACGCCTTTCCGGCCCAGCGCTGTTGGAAAAGGCGGCGGACGGGGGGGGGGAAACGCCATGCAAGTAAGCTTGCCTGCGTCTAAATCCCTGAGGGCTTGACGACTTTCCGCCAATTGACTTGTGGAGATCGGGCCAGATAAGCCCAGGCAGCTGCAGATACATCGAGGCACATCCATGCAGATCTATATATGGGTAAATCCAGGCAAGTCCAGAGACCTCCAGGGAAAGTTGGAGCAAATCGCGGCCGCTCCAGCGCGAGTCGAGGGACGGCAGAAGTCGTTAAGCCTTCTCCAGCGGAGGCCCATGCCAAGAACACCCTGCTTGGCTCCAGGGTGCTCTGGGTTTCTTGGGTTTCGATAGTTTTGCGATGGAAAGCGTGACGTTCCCACACCAAACATCAACGGACGTCCTGGGGTCTCAGGGTTGGGCTTCTTGTGGAAGGTTTCTCGTGGACTTACCTCCACTGTAACGCCCAGTTTGTGCCTTCCGCAGGAGTGGTCCGACTACCTGGCGCAGTCCAAGGCGGTCGCGTACTGAGGGCATGCCGCGCGCGTCCCGGGATGAGGCGGCATGAGCAGCGCCGAGCAAAAGATCTCTCCTTTGCACATCTCTCTTTGCTCCTCGTCCTCCTCCTCCTCCTCCTCATCCTCCTCCTCCTTCTGCTCCTCTACTCCTCCTCCTCCTGCTCCTCTTCCTCCTCATGCTCCTCCTCATGCTATCCTCCTTCTCCCCCTCCTCCTCCTCCTCCTCCTCCTCCTCCTTCCTCCTCCTCCTCCTCTTCCTCCTCCTCCTCCTCCT